TTGTGCCGTATTTATCATGATGTCATACTTCTTGATTTGTTAGTATTTTTCACAACTCTGGATTGTGTTGACGGATTAATCAGCAAAAGCCAAAATTGGTGGCTTCAACGTGTGTCTGTGTCTATATTCTTTGTTTTAAAAAGTTAAGCGTAGAGACTGCGCAATTAACATAAAACACATTATATTTTAGTTTACCCCCCTGACCATTGGCTTGTTTCTACCCCAAGCATTTCACAGTTTATTCTAAATCCAATATATTAAGCTATTTACTTCTTAAATTTTTTTAACAAATTAATTTTTAAACTTTAAGCGACCTTCATAGTTGAACCCATAAAGTTAGTGTCTTGAGTTTATATGTATATAGAAGCACTGCTCTGCTGCTCAAGAGCTCACACCTTCCTCATTAGGTTGAGCAAAGAGAAAAATGAAGAGCATTTTGAGCTTTCTGCTTGTGTCTGTATTTGTTTTGGTGTGTGTGACAGTAAATGGTGGAGATCCTACTGATGGATTCACCCCTGTCCCTCTGACAGACGCAAATTTTGTCATCCAAAAGCCATATAACATTCCATTAGATCAAAGGTATAGCTTCAGAGATGGAGTTCATCGGTTATGGGTCTATGCTAATGACAAGCCTCATGCTCCTAACAGCCATACTAGGCCCCGTACAGAAATTCGCATCCAAGTACTTCTTCAATCTCATGATCTACAAATATTCCTTCTTGTTTGCATTTTCTTTTATCTCGATGTTTTCCCATTACTCATCAGAATTTAGGTGTTCCAAGGAGTTGAGAGGATTATCCTGTCCTTACAAATAACTCCCAAACACCGCATCCCAGGTTTAATATCATCAAAGTGAATCAATTGGAGTTATGCATTCTTACGTTTGGACACAAGATAATGAAACCATGTGTATTAAGAAGATTAACATCATGTTACAGTAATTCTTTTTAGGATTAAGTTGCGTAGGTTTGAGGTTTTAGTAGTTATACAGAAACAGTCTGACGGTTTCCGCGTCTGCAGGGATATGACTACCACTCAGGGGTATGGCAATTTGAAGGGTATGGTTATGTGCCACGTGGAACATCTGGAGCTACAGTGGCACAGATCCGTGGGGCACCCAAGGGTAAGGGTGCTACCACATTAATGCTGAAAATAGACCATGGGAATTTGTGGTACTACAATGGAGTTTTGGTGGCTGAGAATATGTATGACAAGTGGTTCAGACTCAACATAATCCATGACGTTGATGGAGGAACTGTGACTGTGTTCATTGATGGACAGAACAAGTTTCATGGCAAGGATAGAGGACCAGCTGATGACTTTTACTTCAAATGTGGGGTCTATGCTTCTTCTGGTGATCTCAGCTATTACATGGAATCAAGGTGGAGAGACATTAAAATATACAAAAAGTGATTAGCTGATTACAGAAAACCTGTATGATTTCTATGTACTTGTACGATCTTTATTATGATTTTATAGAGTTTTCCATTAGTTAGTGTCTTCTTCGCAGCTCATGACTGCGTTGTACATTATCCTCCTACGATACAATACAATGATGTCATTTCCGTTTAAATATTGAAATATTTATTTTTGGTACAAGCTTGGAATATCTAGAGAAAGGAAAATATATTGATTTTTTTTTTCACTCTAGAAAACAAAAAAACTATTCTCAAAACATGATACCAAACAGGCCCATAAGATGCTTTTGTTTCGCTAGCATTAATTCATACCACGCAGTTCGGAAGCCTATGAATTTTTAACTTCTTCCATTCATTCAAACACATATGCTTGTTCTTGCATTCAAAGAGAAAGTAAGACAAAAGAGTGGGATTTATATGTGGAGCTCACTTTTTTTGTTTATTCTATATCTCTATTTGAATAAATTATGTACAGTCATTTTCATGACAGCAAAAGATCCAAATTGACTTAGCCTTACACCATAAGTTCATGTTAAAAGAACGGTGACTAGGTTCTAAGTTCACTTTCAAATTTTATCGTACATTAATTTTTCAGCTGTGAGTTCACCAAATGGTCATACATGCACCAATACATAATCTCAAGTAAATTGATGATTCAGTCACTGAAAGATCACTCTCCTTTCAATAGTTCTTCAAAAAAGAGGCTCTTAATATGGTGTCCTAAAGATCTTCCTCCAATTATAAGCCGAGGATAGGATGATGATTATAGAGAGAGAGAGAGAGATTTCCCCCAAAATAATTTTGTTTTAGTAGTCACTCACTTACTTGACTTGTCAAAAATTACCCACGATCTGGATATATAAATGTAGATTAAGAGTTAATCTGAGCAATATGGACAAAGAAGTGGCCGAAAAATGACATGGTTTAATATTAATGTCCATGTATTAATTAATGAATTAAGACACACAACATATTTTTTAATATAAAGATATTATTAAATATGTAATTACTTGACTTTACTACTGTTTGTTAAACATGATTGACATGGTAACTAATTTCTTTAATTCAACAATTTAAGAAATAAAAATTACTTATCATGAGGAAATGCTTAAAGATGCAAATATGTCAATTCTTGCAAATAGTTGTGGATAAATTCCTCCGCCTAATTACTCCATGTTGTAGTTGGTGCGCGTGGAAGTTTTTAATTGAATTATTGGACAATAATAACAAGTTAAAAACTCACAAGAGTGTTTTAAGGACATGTTCATGGCTCAAGGTTCTCATTTTTATTCATTTGTATCAATCTTAATTGTGATTATACACCTCTCAAACACACATGATGGTGAGAATCTTTTGGTGAATGGGAACAAACAAAATTCGTTTCAACCGACTAGGATAGGCACTCTCATACTATATATATATATATATATAACATGACGTAAATGACTTTATATTAAAAGTTGAACAATAAAAATTATCACTTTCAAAAGTTACTTGACTAAAGACATTAATATATTAATCATTGATGCAGAAGCACAAGTAAAATTAGGCTACAAAATTGGTTGAGGGTTGCGCCAAAATCATATAAAGATTGTTGGAAGCACTGGCAAAAAAGTCAAATAGACAATTCTAAATCTTATGAAAAAGAGTAGTGAAAAATTCAAAAGAACAATCAATGAAATTATTAAAAAAATTTTTAGTTAATAATTTATTTTATTGATCGCACCTAATTAGATAAAGATGATTGTTATTAATGTCCTGCCAAAATCATATAATTTTCCTTAATTTATGGATTAATCAGAAAAGCCAAAATTGACTTCATCAACTACTTGATCATGAAATGAATCTTCTAAGCCAAAACAATAAAGTAATAATCTCCCAAATATGTACAACACCACAGTGAATGTCCCCTAAAGCTATTGTTGTCGTCACATATTGCCGTCCGTCCCCTCAATGAGATTTTTTTTTTTTTTTGGCTTTGAGCGGTTGTCCCTGATTCACAGGATACACATGACAAAACATTCATGTACCTCCAAACACCATATCAGATAATAGACTTGCATGGATCTAGCAACCATTGTCATCATCCGTGAAAAAAAAAAAAAAAACTAAGACAAAACATTCGTGTAAATCCCATTTGTTTTTAAGGGATAACAGTAGGAATTGAACCTGGATAGGTGTTAGCCTAGTTAGTTCTTTGCAAAAACGATTTTTTAACAAATGTTTAGCTTTCAAAAAACCTTCACAGTTGAACCAAAAAGAAAAGTTATTGTCTTGGGTTTATAGGTAGGGTTAAATGCTAAATTGACCCTTATAGACTATATGTTTAAGAATGTTTGGTATTTTAAACTCATTTTTTATGTAATATTTCTTTTTAACTTTTAAAAATAGTACAATATAATCCTTATCATTAATAAAAGTTAATTTTAATTATTAATTGACTAGAAATGATAGAAAATAACACTAAAAATTTTTTTTAAAAAAAAAGACTAAAGAATTACAGTACAAGACTCAAAAATTATAGAGAATGATCCAAAAAATTACAAAGAACAACCAAGAAAATTTTATCAGTCATTTTTATAATTTTTGAGGTTCACTTTTTGTTTAACTAACCGTCAAAATTAATTAATTTTTATTAACGGTAAAAGCCAGATTACACCATTTTCAAAAACCATTGAAAGAGAACATTGTACTAAAAATGTATCTAGCGTTATAGATGCTCCTAAACTTATAGTTTAAAATAGGGGTATTTAGTTTATACCTGTCCCGATTGGCTCGATATTGTCCCGATCATATCAGGACGGGTCTCGTCTTGACTTGAAATTAGTCGGAACAGGACGGAACGCGGGATTACTATCGGGATGTCTCGTCCCGTCTCGAACATTATATATATTATTTTTATTTTAAAAATATACATTAAATATATTAATTATATTAATATAATTTATACTTATATTAATTATATCAATTATGATTTCAATATTTGCAATTATTATATAAAACTATAGTTTTTTATATTGATAATTTTAATAACATAGAATGAATGTGACGATATCTTTCTTTATAGTTGTGCTTGACTTCCCTATTGTTGTTATTCTTATAGCCTAGAGATCACTTATAATTGCTATCATAATATGTAATTGTGATTAATGTAGTTCAATAATTTATTTTAAATTGTTGTGATTTATGTACTTGTGTTGCCTTAGTTTTAAAATTAATAAATTGCATGATTTAAAATTTTAATGAATGTTATTATTCAAACATTTCTCTAACATTATTTGACTTATCAAGATGGCAGGACGTCCCGATCTCATCCTGGTCCTATCCCGATTCCTAATAGGACGAGACGACTTTCGGAACAGGATGGGACACAGGACTAAAATTCAGTCTTGATCTTTTTTTCGAGATGGGACACAGGACAGGGGTGTCTCGATCCCATCCCATGAACACCCCTAGTTTAGAAGTTGATTTGTTATTTTACCCTTATATGTGTGTTTATAAATATATGCATTCCTCTGCTGCTTAAGAGCTCACACCATCCTACAGGGGGGTCAGGTAATAAGGTTGAGCAAAGAGAAACAAATGAAGAGAACTTTGAGCTATCTGCTTCTTCTGTCTGTATTCCTTTTGGTGTGTGTGACAGTAAATGGTGGAGATCCTACTGATGGATTCACCCTTGTCCCTCTCACAGATGCAAATTTTGTGATCCAAAAACCATATAACATTCCATTAGACCAAAGGTATAGCTTCAAAGACGGAGTCCATTGCATGCGGGTCTATGCTAATGACAAGCCTCACAATCCTAACAGCCATACTCAGCCACGCACAGAAATTCGCACCCAAGTATAATTCTTCTCATGCTCTTGATTTACATATAAGCCTTGTTATGTTCGCCTTCACGTCCATTCTTTTTTTTTTTTTTTTGTTCATTGGGATTCAGGTATGTTCAGAAGGTGAGAGGAGAAAGGAAGAACTATGAAACATTAACAGGAAATTTTTCATTGTTCTCCCCTTCCTACCAGTACCTCCCAAACAAGAAAATGTCTGGGATTTTCGGAGGCATTTGGTAAATTAGTGTCTCATATTTTTTCATTTGGTTATTTGAGTCAAATTCGATCATTATTGACCTAATTGAAAGTAGCTTTTCTACAGACGTTTTTTGCATTCACAGAGACTTGGACACGAGATTCGTGTTTTAAGTGGTTATAACTCCCTAATCAACATGTATTGGTACATTAGTGTTTCATATTATGATATATTTGATTTATAAACAAATTTTATGCCCTCTGTTATGGGATCATATTCTGTCGTTTCTGGTGGAATGTTATTCGGCAGTTATTAGATGCCAACGTTCAATCACATTACCAAGTTCCAGCATCACAATTAGAGCATCCAAACATCAACATGTATATGTTACAAAGAAACACTTGACAGTAATTCTATCTTATTTGTGCAGGGGCTTGACTATCACACAGGGGTATGGCAATTTGAAGGGTATGGTTTTGTGCCAAATGGAACATCTGGGGCTACAGTGGCACAGATTCATGGTGCATCCCACGGCGCTACCACAATAATACTGAGGATATACGATGGGAATATGTGGTACTACAGTAGTAATTTAGTTGCTGAGAATCTCTATGGATAAGTGGTTCAGGCTTAACCTAATCCATGATGTGGATTGTGGCATTGTTACTGTGTTCGTCAATGGAGAGAAGAAGTTTGAGACGAAGGATAAAGGACCTGGTGACTTGTACTTCAAATGTGGGGTCTATGCAGCTCCTGCTCATATAAGCTATTACATGGAATCAAGGTGGAGAGACATAAAAATCTACAAAAAGTGATGACTTGATTATAATATGAAGTGCACTAAACATGTATGATTTTTAATCCTTGTTACTTGTTAGTATTTCATACCAGAGTTATAGGATGTTTTCCCCAACTAGGGCAGTTTTTTGTACTAGAACAAGATCAGCTTATGTCAGAATATTTAAGTTTGATTGAACTTGAGCTGATATAGGAAATCATATATAAGATAAAGTTGAACTTAATAACTGCTGTATAGTAAAGTTGAGCAGTGACTTATACTTCAATTCTTTGCATTAAAAAGATGTGGTCTACGATCAGTAGCTTTTGACCAAGTTTATCATAAAAAGACAAGCAAGCATGTCACAAGAGTGCCCTATTATTAGCTTGGCATGCTTATATTTTGTACAATGGAATCTATCCAAGAGTTTTTAATGGTCATATTCAAAGGAATGCGTCCATCATGACCAGAAGCCGCAATACCATCGTCATACTCCATCAACTTCGCAATTTTCATTGCCTGAGATTTCACCTTTGAAGATCCAAAACAGTATTGACGGTCACAACTCAATTATTTTGACTCTACTATATAAAACATGTTTCAGAATTTTGTTGAATTTCAAAAGCCAAAGGAGAAAAATGCATCAAATCACGGGAGGCCATTAATAATACAGATTTCAAATTGTGTTGTGGTCTGTGCTTCCAAAGTTAGACCAACTTTACAGTAATAAAATTCTTCTAGCTTGCATTCATTATCAAGTCTTAAATTAAATAATTTTGATATTTCAGTCAAATTTAATAAATGAAGAGAAATACTAACGAAGCTTTATTATAAAAAGGGGAATAAAACTCTCCCGCTAGAGATTCTGATGCAGCCAATTATTCGGTTTATGGTAAAAAGTCAAATTATATAATGACCATTTAAGAGGTTTCAATAGTTTCCAAAGATTCTTATGGACTTGAAAGGTTGTTGAACAGATATTTTTACAAAATATGGCTACTTCTAAATTGCCAAGAGCTCCATAAATAATCATATTTTAAGTCATGAAATGATTTTTTCAAGCCAAAACAATAAAATTTCCCAAACATGTCCAACACCGCAATGAATATCCCAATGTGGCAATGGTTATTCGTAACTGCAATGGATTTCCCTTTAATGAGATTTAAAAAAATAGTAATAATAACAGCGGTTCTTTTAGAGTCACAGGACACATATGACAAAAAATTCATGTACACCGATAACGCCGTGCTAAATGGACTTGAAAATAGAAACACTTTCAATATAGAGTTCTATTTATTTTATTTTTAAAATTATTTTTCGTGTAACAATATTAGGTTGATGCCTGTCTCAACACGTATTAGTGGAATTCCATTTATTTTTAAGAGATAAAAGTAGGTATTAAACCAATACTAGTGTCCATATCATGTATATTATATTAGAGGCAGAGGGTTTGCTTCAAAACACATTAATTATTAGTTGGCCCACTTGACCGTTGGATTGTTTCTACCCTTAGCATTGGACAGTGTAGTCTAAATATAATTTAGTAGGCCATTTAGTTCTTTGCAAAAATGTTTTTTAACAAAGTTTTAAACTTCAAGTAACCTTCTCGGTTGAACTCAAAAAACTTAGCGTCTTGGGTTTATATGTATATATATTCATTGCACTGCTGCGGAAGAACTCACACCATCCCAAAGAGAGACCAGCGCATACAGTCGAGCAAAGTGAAAAAATGAAGAGAACTTTGAGCTACCTGCTTGTGTCTGCATTCCTTTTAGTGTGTGTGACAGTATATGGTGGAGATCCTACCGATGGATTCACCCCTGTTCCTCTGACAGAAGCAAATTTTGCGATCCAAAAGCCATATGACATTCCATTAGACCAAGGTATAGCTTCAAAGATGGAGTCCATCGCATGTGGGTCTATGCTAATGATAAGCCTCATGACCCTGGCAGCCATACTCAGCCACGCACAGAAATTCGCATCGAAGTACTTTTCTTCATGCTCTTGATCTACATGTAATCCTTGTTATGTTTGCTTTTACGTCTGTTTTCTTCTTTGCTCATTAGAATTCAGGTATGCTCAGAGAGTGAGAGGAGAAAGGAAGAAACTATGAAACTGTCCCACTGGAAACTTCCCTTCTCAACCATCTCAAATCTCGTGATATCTTGATTGTTTTGGCATGTTGAATGCATAAATGTCAGGCTATCTAAAACATTCAAGACAAGTGCTGATATCTTGCGTCCTAAGAAACATCAGATTTAAGTTTACTGGACATTTGAATCATTACCGTATGCTTCTTTGTTTCCAAGTATAACTTTTCAGACAAAGGCATCAAATTTGAGTATCCAAGATCAGCATGTTTTATGTTACGAAAAAACACTTGACAGTCAATCTTTATTTGTGTAGGGGCTTGACTACCACTCTGGGGTTTGGCAATTTGAAGGGTATGGTTTTGTACCAAATGGAACATCCGGAGCTACAGTGGCACAGATCCACGGTGCATCCCATGGTGCTACCACAGCAATACTGAGAATATATGATGGGAATATGAGGTTCTACAATGGAGACTTGATAGCTAAGAATCTCTATGATAAGTGGTTCAGGCTTAACCTAATCCATGATGTGAATGGAGGGATTGTGACTGTGTTTATTGATGGAGAAAAGAAGTATCAAACGAAGGATCAAGGTCCAGGTGACTTGTACTTCAAATGTGGGGTCTATGCTGCTCCTGCTCATATAAGCTATTACATGGAATCAAGGTGGAGAGACATAAAAATATATAAGAAGTGATAACTTTATAAACATGTATGAAGTACTGTAAACATGTATGAGTTCTAAATACTTGATTGTACCATCTATATCATAATCATAGACTTTTCTATCATCTACAGTCTTCTTCGAAACTGTAGATCATGTTTTATATTATTCTCCATAGCCGATGATGTCATTTCATTTAAACAGCAAAAAATGCGTTTAGTAGACTTGTATTTAAGATATTTAGGAAAAGGAATAAGGTGCCTTTATCTGCTAGCATTTCATACCCCACACACAGTAAGGTCCTAGATTTTTTTTCACTTCTCTCGACCGTGTGCCCAACATAACCCAGGGAAATTGATTGCCATGGTTAAGACTTAAGATTCAAACCTGCGATAATGCCTCAAGCCTCAAACACACTTCCATTGCTTGCTCTCGCCATTGGACCAATCAAGCTACATTGTTATGGAAAAATTAATGAATTACAGCATAAAGTTTTCACCAACCGGGCAGTTGTGCAGGAATTTTCAAGAGAAGAATAAGAATATCAGCTTAAATGGAATATCTCCTTTCTAGATCCGTCGGAGCGTTGGGCCTCAAGTCAACAGGCTTTCAGCCTGGCTTGTAAAAGTAATAACAACTAGAGAAAATCACAATTGAGGACCCCTGGAGAGAATTAATTATGCTACAGGACCAAATGATTCTGATATTACTTTGCAGAACCAAAAAACTTAAATATAATTAAAAAAATTTGTGAAAAGATAAAAAGTATTTTTGTTGTGACTTGGGAACTGATTATTGTTAAAATAAAAATGAGGCTTGCTTTTCCTCAAATGAAGAGTTATTTATCATATTATAACAATTCATCTATGAAATTAATATTTTATAGTTGTTAATAAAAAAATTGATAGTTGTTAGAATAAGACTTATTTTTTTTCAATTAGGGACTTGTTTACAGAATTACAACACTTGCTCCTTTCAATCATTAAGTTAATTTTTCAAAGTTATTAATTAAGAAATTGGTTATTGTTAAAATGAAAATAAGATTTGTTTTTTTTAAATAAAAACTTATTTACCAAATTACAACACTTGTTCCGTTCCATCACTAAATTCTTTCACATTGTTAATAAGAAAACTAATTGTTATTAAAATATAAATAGGACTTTTTTTTTTTTTCCAAATGAGAAGTTATTGTTAAAAGAGTATATGATATACACATTAAAGATATTTTTATCTTTTTACAACAAAAGTAGGTGCTTTGATTTTATGAAGTAATATCAAAATTATTTGATCCTATAGCATAATTAATTTTATTCAGGATTCCTTGATTGCAATTTTCCCTAATGACTATGACGAACTGAATAATAAATCATCCTGCCAAAGAACAGATATTTATACTTTGTAGCTATAAAGAGATTCTTAGGTGGATGTGAATTACGAACAGCTGACCAAGTCAATCATAAAGAGACAAGTAAGCGTGTAAAAAGAGCATCCTATTAGCTTGTATTTCGTATATTGGAATCTATCCAACAATTTTTCATGGTCCCGTTCGAAAGGAACGCATACGTCATATATGAGATAAAAAGACTAGAACCCACCTTTCTATAACCCCGAACTAAATCAAAGGAGAGAGGAGACAAAAGAAAGCAATTTAAACCTTCAACTACTTGAAATTCTTGTATGATATCATTAAATATCAACCAAATAGCCAATTGCTAACCCACAAAATCAAATTACAAGACATCAAGAAGCTGTAAGTAATAGAGCTTCTTCAATGGCGAGACCCCTTGGCCTTGTCACGCGTACGACAGAGCTCAGATGGCACCAGCTATGGCATGAATATAAAGGTGACATTGCTCTTTTCCTAATCTTGCTCTCTAGGCTATGAAACTGTTGCGTTATTTTTGAGAAAGAGATTTGGTGGTCAAACCCTCCCAAAAGAGACTTGACTACAATGAATGGAATACCCAAGAAGAATACTTAACTGAGATTCTTGGAAGGGGGACAAAATGGAAGCGTTCTAATTAGTTGATGGGTGGATTATAAGAACTAAACCTACGCACCACCACACGGCAGGCAGCACCATTTTCCAAGTTGAATAAAAAACCATTGCAGAGGACTTGGATGGCCCTCGTCTACTAGAGATGGACTTGGCAGTGGCAGCTCAGGAGGTAGATGGCGGTGAAATGCATCAACAGCAGCCGCAACACCATCTTCATTCTCTATCAACATTGCAATGTTCATTGCCTTAGATTTCACCTGAAGATTCAAAACACCATTGACAGTCACGACTCGCAATCATTGTGACTTAACAACATATATCGTTTTTGAGAATTTAGTTGAATTTCAGAAGCCACAGGACAAAACTGCATTAAATGGCGGAAGGCCATTAATAATACGGATTTCATACAGTTTTGTGGTCTGTGCTTCCAAAACTAAGCCAAATTTAAATAAGTTTGATTTGTTAGAAATACTAAAATTTAATCGTGAGCAGGAGAAAAAATAGCCACATTGTATCAGCATCAATGTACACGTAACAAATTTACATGGTCATCATAGAAATGACAAAGCTCAGAGGGAAAACATAAATTGAAACAAAATTCCTCACAGGAGAGGGGGAGCAGGGAGCAAAAAAGACGTAACTATCAGCCATAAATGATCATGTTTGATTCCAGGACAGCTATCATATAACACACACACATTTTTAAATAGCTACCAAATCATATTTTTTTTTCAAAAAAAGAATATTACTGCACAAAGCAGATACAGCCACCTTTTAGTGCCCGTCTATTTAAATGACCTTCAGAGTTTATCACTAGGAATACATCTAAACAAATCCAAACCTGCATGATTCTTGTGGTATTTTGCATTATAAAGTATTCATGAACCCGTAAAAGAGGAATAGATCTACCAATATAGATTCTGATGCAGATATTGTTTCAGTTTCCAATAAAGATTCACACAAATAAAACAAATATAAATTGAAATAGTTGATAGAGCACTTTATAATCCCTTTTGAATACTACCAAAAAAAGGGATCTGAAAGGTTGTAAAAATCATATTTCTACATAATATGGCTACTTTAAAGTGCCAAGAGCTCCATAAATCATGGTATTTTTATATATGCGAGAGAGGAAGATGTGAATGAAAAATCTAAAATGACTGATGCATTAAAAGAAAAAAAGGGTACCTCTGGCTGAAGCATAAATGTTATTGCGCTTGATAATTTATCAACACTGAGCTCAGATATTGGAATAGGAGCTGGTCCCAACCCTATTTGATGTATTCTATCACCCCAGAAGAACTGATCCCCAAAGAACGGAACTATGGTTGTCGGACACTGTAAGTTATAACAAAGACACAAGTGAAAAGATTTTTATTTTGATACATGCCTAAATCATATCCTTATCATCAGTAATCAGAAATTGACATAACCTTAATGTCATATTTCATTATTTAAGTCATTTGGATAACCTAAGACATGCAATGAATCCTGGGATTACGAAAAAGGGAAAGAAATTCTTAAAGCACTTTTAAACATTACCCCGGCTTTTAACCCTGTAGCTGTTGTTCCAGCACCACCATGGTGCACCTGCAAATTTGAGCCAAATCATCTTCCAGTTAATTGTCATTATTTGTGTCTAGGCCTGTGAGTGCTTAGAACTTAAATTTGTGTATCTTGGTATCAGGAAATAATTAAAGCAAAAGTGTTAAAACTAGCAACAAAAAGTAGGCACCTTTGGCACATTAAAAAGAATTTTCTTTCTTTCTTTCTCACCCTAAATAACCCACAAGAAAACGTAAATAGAAACTGACCACAGCAGAACATTGAGGAAATAACCAATCATGAGGGCATTCCTCTAGAAGGAAAATGTTGTCAGGAACTTCGGTCACTGCATTGGAAAGCATAATGCAACTGAAATTATGTTAATTATATAAAATGCATGAAACGAACTATATGCATTTTTTGGCCTGAAAACAGCGTGCTTTTTTAATTCATAAGACATGCCATGAAAAAGCATATTAAATCTTTAAGTCAAGTTAGAATGCAGAAAAATCAACTCACAGTTTTGACAGACTCGAGTTACAAGCTCACATGAGATAGGACAACATGTTTAATAGGCATTGATCTTTATCTTTTTCTCAATACACACTAAAATATTTAATCTCCTGGTTACTCGTCATTGGCTGCTTGTTTTAAGCATTAATTTTATTTATTATTTTTTTTTTTAACTAGTACAGTTAGGGGAAAAAGCAGTTTAGTTCAGATTGGGGGAAAAGCATTCCACTTTGTCCTACTTTGAAGCCAAAACGTGGACATGTGGCATGCACACATATCAAACAAGCAGATGGAAATTATTATGCTTAAGAAATCCTATCTGAATCAACAAATGGAGTCAGACCTCCGTTAATTAAATTGCAAAAAATTTCTGGCAGAAATGAGCATCGTCATTTTTGGAGTTTTATTATAATTGTATTCCCATGTGAAGCAAAAAACACTCATCTTAAAATCACTCCATATTATCTCAAAGTCCTTTCTCAAAAGCCTACTTTCAAATATAAATGAATTATGATATGATATGTACATGTATATATAAGATCAACAGAAAGGGCTATTTAGAAAATATGAGTCAAACGGATATAGATTCAAAATAAAGTGAAATACTTACGATTCCCTAGATTTCCCCAGCCCCTGTCAATAATTCCCCGTTGTTCTGTATCCTTTAGTGCCTCCAATATAACATCAGTTGTTCTTTTGGAATCTTCAAGAGGCTAGAAAGTAAATCATACCATTTGCATTAAAAGGAGTCAGAAATTTTGTTTTAGAAAAAATTATGAGTTTCAAAGGGCATAATGTTATGTTTCTAAGCTTAGAACATATTATCAGAAGAAACTGCTACTCATGACAAGATATATCATTCCACTGATTCGATTAAAAAGTAAATCCTCCTCAGAACAGACATATGAGCCCATAGTAGGCAAAACATAGATGATCACAGATCAATTCCTAGGAGGTCAACACAATATTTGAAGTGATTTTGACAATGGCTACACATAATCATCATAAATAGTCATATCTGCTATACAAGATAAATCAACCAAGTCTCTGCAACAGAAGGGGAAAAATCCAGGCAAAACTAAACATTAATGGATAAACATTCAAGATATCAGAGACATCTCTATTTTATTCATGCATAAACAATTCCAGAGGTCTCAACTTACACATTCTAAAAATTCTAATGAGTTAACGTCCTTCTACACTTATTAAAACTACATAGATTACTATTCCTTTTACAACTTATAAAGAGAATAAGCAGGAATAATGTCCTTTGTGTTCTGCATCCTTGTGCCTTTTTTTATGATGAACCAAGTACATATAGTTTCAGTACATCTAATAAAAAATGGGAAAACAAATAGAAGTGGTTTATAGTCATGATACAGAGATTGCAACTGCCTGGTCTGCTTTTGTTAAATCTTTTTATTTTTTCGTTTTGTGCTTTATATGTTTGTTTAACCATCTATGTCATTCTTCATGCGAGTGAAATCCATACTAGAACAAATAGTGTCCTTGCTACCTTGCATCTATAAAATCATCAAGCCACATTCTCAACCATCAAATCTAACGAGTCTTTAAAAGCAAGAATAATTTGTAAATCCATGCAAGTCACATGCAAACAACAGGATGCCGAATCTCATCCTACTTGATGTAAATAAAAGTTGAATCACCCAAGCAAGAAGTGTATAGTCAAGCCGATAAATGGCCGTAATATCCCTACAGTATATGTAATTAAATTTCATAGTTAAGAGAGTTCACCATACCATGCTCCCAAATCCAAAATATAAAGGTTTTGGTTCCTTCTGAATCCATTGGACAAAATTTTCCTGAGGCTGATACTTTGATCCAAGGTTTAAGAAACAATAACCGACAACATCAACTAAAGGGCCCCAATCTGAAAGGTTCCTAAATATTGTTAGCCCCTGAGAAAGATTAAGCAAAACATGTCTGGCAAGCATTTTAAGACAGCTACTATTAACAAACACTGATATTATATGCAGCAAAAAGCTTCTACTCTGAGTCATACTTAATGTTGAGTTGAGGAGAAATGTAGAATCTAATTCGAACTAAAGCAAAGCCATAGCTCTTCCTTGATAAAAACTTATAAAAATCAGTTAAGAGGGCTGCAGCAGACTATGTAGCTATTGTTTACATCTTTGTCCATACCACTTGGCTTTGGAACAACATGAGGACTCCACATATAGCCAGTTGGTAAATGAGATATTGATCCACGATAAGTGCTGAAGTATGCAATAGGAGCAAGCTTCAATTTCTTTTTCCTGAAGTCATTGATAATTCCTCTTATCCCCCACCATATCAGTAGGTCTACAATGACATAGGATAGCTGGAAGAAGCATAAATATTTAAAAAGATTAACGGATAGAAGCAATCCTGCACTTCATTCATAAAAATGTTGCACTCAGACCAAAGAAAACTACGTTTAAAAAAAAAGACATACCCAATATGCAGCACTTTGAGGAACACGTGCCAAAGGGTGAGGGAACTCATTTGTTGGCCTGTCTATTACAAAATATGTATGAAACGAAATCATAAAGGATTGAAAAAGAAAAATAAGGAAAACTGAGTAGCGAATATACACATGAATAACACATGCATTATGAAGGATAATGGTTTGTGTTACTTGGACTAATCTATGACAGTAATTAAAAATTAAAAATAGAATAAAAATTTTCCATTTCATAATTTAGGATAGTTGTATTTGTTTGGATATTTTAATCTCATCCCATAATGGGAGTAGAATTGTATCCTCCATTCTGAAAACTTCGAGTTAAAGTTTAGATTCCCGGCCCTGTTGAATGAGGGATGTGTATGTTTTTCCACAAAGCCCACAATTTATCTTGGAGATTCAATCTTTGTACCATATTATTGAGTTTATTTTAGAATTTCTCCCTGGCCCTTAATTCTCAATCAAAGTCAAACAGAGAAATAATATTTTTTTTTTATTGGGCACAGGTGTCCTCTTATTGAAGACAATCCCATCCAAGGTACAGTTAGATACTAAATGGAGGTACAGTTAGGTACTATTGAAGACAATCATATTCAAGGTATGATTTGGTACTAAATATAAGCACCTCTTCTGACAAGAATTCAAAACTTAATTCATCACGTTGTGAGGCACTAACCCCTACCTCTAGACCCAATCCCCATCGGTATAGAAATATTTTTAGATCAAACCTGAAACGTGAAAAATTAAAGTCTACAGATTTTATGAATATGCATATTACAGAAAAATACCAGCATCAAAATAGTATTTGATTGTTCATATCAGGTAGGACCTAACTAAGAAGGCTTTTGTTTTAGAAAAATGATACATGAGTAACCAACCCACGTAGTTGAGAGGGGATAAAGAAAGAAAAAAGGACGAGAGTTGAGATGTCAAGTCTCTCTCCCTATTTCCTCATCCTCTTCATCGCCCTTAAGCCATTAATGCTGCAGAGCAGGAGAATATTAAGTCTTTCCTAGTTAACAAATTCACTCTAGTCCTTGAAATCAGTAGGCAGCTTATTTCCCAACAAGAGAATGGATAAGTAATTCCAATGGAAGATTTTTATTTATCTGAATATTTGAAACTGTTATTTTTATTTTAAATTATTACACGGTACCTAGACTCTGAATGCAATGAAGAATTAGAATGTTGTTTATATCTTCTTAGGGAACCTTTACATTCCATATAAAATATGATAGAATGTCAAAATTTCCACTCAAGGGTTTTGACAACTTAAACTTACGTCCAAGGCATTGTGAAAAATATGTGAAGAGGCACCCCAAGGGCTTCAGCAACATGCACATGTCCTGCAAACCGTAAAAGAATACATAATGTATTTAATTATTTGAAAAAAGCATTGAACTAGATAAGTTTACAGAAAACCATCAAATTAGCATATATACTTTGTTGAATTGAAAATAAAGGGAAACAAAAAGAAGTGCAGCTCGATAATAATATATGCATTCAAGAATAAATTCCAGAGAGAAGTATTTCATTAATTATCACACTTGAACAGGAAAGCTTCTGAATTTCACACTTTAATGCTAGTATTTACTTCTGTGGACCCCACAAGCCTAACATAAGATGAAGATATATCTTCTAATCATTTCCGTTTAGTGCTTATGGTGTATCACTTAATTAAGCATAACATAAGATGAAGATACAACACAATGAATTTCCATTCAAGTTCATATTTGTCGATCATTTTTTTGCGAAAGCAGGCACCTCAAGGAGCCTAATCTTTCTTTTTCCTACCAGTCATTTTAAGGTCCTGATTACAAAAGTTATAGAAAAGACAAAATTTCTGCATATGAATGTTCAGAATTACACATCTGTATCAGTGCAAGAAGGCAGTGCACTTCCAATAATTCTGTAGGAAACACAGCTTTTTGTCTCCATTATTCCGTGACTTATTTCTCTGCACTACGGTACATTTATAGGGAGGAATGTCCTCATCATAGCATATCAAATTCCAATGAAACAGGAAGGAAAAACAAAAAAATATCCTGATGCTACCAGACCGAATACAAAGGGAGATAAATAAAAAAAACAGAGAGACGATAACAACCAGATACATTGGTTATCCTTTTCTTTGCATATCTCACACACAAGATGATGTCACTTTCAAAAGATTCAACATTCGTCAAGTAGTCAAGGAGCTTGTATCAAACATTATGAAATGGTTTGCTAAATATAATGGCTACGAGAAGAAATGTCGTCACTACAGAATGGCCATGCCTGAAATTTTTTAGTTCGACCATCAAAGTAGTTAAACCAAGTTCTACTGGCAAACATGTCAAACAGATAGAATCCCCAAACAGCATACTTGAAGAGCACATAATACAACCGGCATGTTACGTTAAAAGAAATATTTATTGTAAAACCTGAACCATTATAAATCATAAAGAAGGTATAAAATGAAGTAAACAATACATTAATTTGTAAGTTGTTACCACTCACCATATACAGGAGGGTTGGCAATGATAGCCTGAGATCTAAAAGGAACGCCTGTTTCCAAATCAGGAGCTGTGCAAGCTGGAAGAAGGGAATCAATAATGGCCTTCATTTGCTTTCTTTGAATAGATATTTCTGACGGATTAGCAGGAATCAAACCTTTATTTCTGGCCATACCTACAAGTGAAACGGCCCTTTTTTTATATTGGTAAAGATACAAAGTGAATAAGTAAAAGCAGGTTTGGATTAGAGCAGCAATACGCCATTAACGACGTTCAATCATGTGTCACAGAGAGAGAGAGATAATCAAGAGCAGAAATAAGCATGACATAACAGTCATTGCCAATTTTACTTTCCTTTATGTTGAGGGCATATCATATAAATCTGTAGCCGTCAGAAAATTCAGTGCGGAATGAACGGACAATGTTTTTTACATCTAATGTTAACTACACAATGACTTAACAGTAACGATTCCACATGACAACAGGTATAACAATAATGGCATATATCATAACTAAAGTTTAATTGAATAGGAAAGATTTTCTGGCTTAGATTACTGCAAATATAGTTGAGCTAGCTTTTATTTTGAATTATGCAGCTATAGGCCACCAACCAGAGAAAAACCAAAGCATACATTTCTATTAATTTACATTATTGAGCCTAATCCTTGATGCTTGAAACTTTTGGATAATTTGTCATTATCAGTGATGTTATGAATACCAAGAGAAATATTATCTCTATTGCTTATAGAAAATTATTTAACAATATCTTGAAGGTTGCTTTTTAGTAGAAATCACTTTACAAAATACAAACTTGACTGTATCCGGTAACCGCAAATGTATTATATCTTCACAGTGCCACAGTTTCTGAAAATCAAATGGGATACGTATCTCAAAGAAAAGGAGTCAAAAGAGGGTCTTCTAGTCAGATTCAGACAAAGCTCAAGTAAATTGCATCAAGAGGTATTAATTATTTATGAAAGTATAAATTAGGGACCTCTTACATCCTGCCAGAACTCGAGGATCACCGCCCAAAGGATAGAAATCTACACCAGCTGACTTAACAAATGTGTTGAAATTGCCATGAGTTGCCAACCTTACACGATGACCATAACCCTGAAAGTAGAAATAAGATCATCTTTAACATTAAGGAAGAATAAATTCAACCAAGCAAACAGTTAAGATGTAGAATCCATAAGTAATTGGAAAATCAAGCACTGGCATGTCTTAAATAGATCAGTGGCATAACTTTCATGACAATTATCATAGAAGTTGCTTCTCTAAAAATGATGAGCTTGTGAAATAAATGAATCAGACACTTGCATTTTAATTCATGCTGTTGAGGCTGAAGCAATCAAGCCATTGTAAAGAAAAGGGATGGAGATATAATATGGCATAGATAATTAAAATAAGCACCATTTTCAATATGTTAATGGCACAGGTTGACAAAACATTCCGTCAATACTTGCATCATGCGCTTGAGAGGGGGGGAACTTCAAATGCACTTATAAAGGATAGAAGCAAGGAGGAAGGGCTTCATATATGCATAATCTCATAATAAGAAGCTAATCAAAAGTAGAAGGGAAGAAGAAGAAGATTGAATTATTCTGACCCTAGTAGTGAGAATGGATGATACTGATACCAATTTGATGTGACTTCAAAACACTTGCAGGTGGCAGATTGTTAGATTCTATCAAGGTCATCTATTTCACAAGACATGCTAGTAACCTCTAACCAAAATCCCTATCATCTGATAATGCAATCCTTATTTGCAACATGACTAATAAGATGAAAATATTTAAACATGCCTGAAGCCTCTTTGCAATGGCCAGAAAAGGTTGTACATCTCCTCTAGTTCCAACCACAAGTATGACAATTTGTAACCTCGGAACTGATTTATTGGATTCAGAAATAAAACTTCCGCTCGTTGCTGACTCTTCAAAAGATTTAAGCTCTAACAATTCTGAAGCAACAGGTGAACTTCTTCCTAGATCAACTTCAACTGTCCCATCATTTTGTATCTTCACTAGTTCCACAATCAATTTTTGCTGAGAAGCAAAACAAGAAAATGCTGTGACCAACCTGATAATATTGAAATTCTAAAGCATAACTCATAAATTCAACAACTCGAAAAACAAGTGGACTAAAAAGATATAACGGCTCTACCAAAAGGCAAGTAGATAAATTACCAATGCTTCACTATGAGTGGAAAGATTAAAGGAAATGAGATGAATAAATTGAATGTTCGTCATTTATAAGTGTGTCACTGAAAAGATATTCATACAGTGCAACAATTTCAATTACACCATTGTATCTGGGTACTAGTTCAACGGAGAAGTAGCATCACCCTTTATAAAAAGAAGACCTGAATATGTTGAATATATAAACGTAAAAGTTCTTACAAAGTTTCTTTTTCTATCAAATGAAAAAAACAAAAATGCAAAAGTAGAACTATCTCAGCCATACATCATTGAAAAAATATTTTGTATAACGTATAAACAAATACTAATGTCTAATTATAATTATAACTTACTCAACTAGAGTAAAAATGCACTGGCACAAGTTTGATATTCAACATCATGTGCATGTAATGACATCAGTAACAACCTTCTCACGCTCTGACAACCTGTCCAGCATTAGATCCTTCCTTTGAGACTCCCTCTTTTCTGTCACTGATCTATTAAACACAATTTCATGGTCAGCAAGAAGCCTGTTGCCCTCAGTTCTAGCAGGTGCCGTGATGCAATGATCCAAACCTTCAATATCAACTTCTAACATTACTAAAAATCAAATGAATCTTATCATAGAATCAAATTACAAACGATTGTCCAGTGCATTCAAAAATGGCAACAAGAGACAAAATAAACAGCTTTCACTCAAGGAGGACCGGAAAGCAGACATCAGCTTCTTCTTCTTCTTCTTCTTTTGTGACTAACCTCGAGGTGAAGGATGAACTTCCGATGACTTCCAATCCTCTGCCTCCTTAGACGAAGCTGAAGATGAAGCAAATGCTTCCTCTTTAGACCTGCTATCCCCAATCACTGACTCATCATCATCCATATGCCTGAAATGTTCCCTCTTTTGTTGTATGACAATACCTTCTCCGACTAATTCTACAGGCAAATTTTCAGCCCCTTGCTGCCCATCCCCGGAATCTCCAACTTCCCTAATGCTTCATAATTCTTTCAAGTCTGAAAATTTTGTAACGCCCGAACAAATCCTGAGTATTCAAATGTAACACCATCTCAGCAACTTCAAATGAACCATATAATCAGCATTTAAACCCACCGGGCCGAGTTGGTCATAAGGATTTCAGCACTTCGGTTTCTTCCACTATGTGAACGGCTTAAACTCCGCTCACGTGCTCAAGCACCCATAAGCACGTGGCATGCGAGCCAAAGTCTCAAACCGAGCTCCGATAGCTGAAGTCCTGAGCAACCAACATAATTATTGACTAATTAACTCATCCAACAGTCATTCAAACATGAAGAAAGTTTGGTGAGCAAATAGTTTAAAACATGTCTTGACCAAATTTCGACCCAGTTTAAGAGTGGAGCGGCACTTAAGAATTAGTTTCAAGTTCCAAATAAAGCAGAGAAAACCCAGAAACACAGAGGAGGAAGGTACCAGAAATTGTGCAGAGAATGCAGAAATAATATGAAACCACCTTATTCACTATGCATACCAATCATGGTGTGTTCTAGATTACATATGGAAGAAGGAATTAAACAGGATATTTTTATGGGGATAAAATTGAATTTGATTTCGGGAGGCAGGTTGTTTTCCTCACCGTCTGAAGCTTATGATTTAACAAAAACTAAACATCGCCAAAAAAAAAAATGTCGTAATAAAGATAAATATTACAAAACCTATAATATCGAGTACGGTTTCTCAAGAGTCACGATGTCATTTTCGCATTTCGGCTCGCAGCCTCGGAATGTGGAAGAATCTTGGCACGAGAAAATCTCGCGGGGTGTTTATTTACGTAGCATTTTGTAGGGGGAAATTCAAGACGTGGTCGTGTTGGAGAATATATAGGGTCCATTTAAATTTTAATTAAATATAATAGATTATAAAAATAATTAATTAAGTGATAGATTTTAATAATAATTGATTATGTTATAAAACAATGTGTTTGAATACTATTTTTTTAAAATTAATTTTAACATAATTAAAAATATTTAAATAATTTAATTAGAATCAATTTTAGTTATGTAAATTACTATATAATTTAATTCTTAAATATCAAACATTAATTTTTTGAGGATACAAAATTTAAAGTTTATTAAGGAAAAAAAGAGAGAAGAGAAGAGAGTTTAATTTTATTTTTATTAAATTATGTGCTTATTTGTAATTTTTTCGTGGGCCTTCTTTTGTAATTTTTTTCAATAGTTTTTTGATAAATTTTTGGCAAAAACTGATTCCATCAGCTTTTGAAAAAACGCACATTATGTGTCAAAATCGATTTTTGTCCTTTTTCAACCGTTTGGATAATTTAATTTTAAAAATCAATTTCAGGCAAAAAAATCGATTTTGAAGCCTTACCAAACGGGCACATAGTCTTTTAAAAAAGATAAATAAATAATAGAACCATCAATGCTTATTTTCAAGGTTCGTAAAACGGGACCGATCACTGAACCGGTCACGATACTGAGTCACGAGTTAATGGTTCAATCAGGGATTAAACCGATGATAAACCGGTCATGATTAAAATAATACAATTTAAATAAAAAGATATTAATTATAAAAAGTCAACCAAATCCAACCATTCAAAAATCCAACAATAATAAAATACAACACTTCAAATATCAATCCTTAATTCCTTATAATTACAACCCTTCAATCATTAAAAAGTCTAAAAGTCTAAAACTAATATTTACTAACACCAAAATCATCATTAACTTCATTCAGATTTTCGGGCATTGAGACATCAAGAGTTGAATGAGAAAAACTAAAACCACTAGCAACATCAGGCAAAGGTGGGGACTCTAGAACATTCATATATTCATCACCTGCAACAAATAAAAATTAATATTAGTGAATGGCATTTTAAGAAAGAAATTTATATACTTGCATTAGACATGATAGTAGATTTAATAAACCTTCATAATCCCTCTCAAGGGTTTATGGAGTAGTTGTGGTTTTATTGTGAATGGCACTTTCAAAATTTACAACATCTTGAGAATCAAACTCAGGAGCTGGCTCTTTCTCTTTTTCAGCCACCCAAAAGTCAACTTTGTCAATTGATTCATAATCAATGGGATCATAACTTTTATTTTTCCTCAATTGACTCCTTGGTAAAAAAAAAAGCAATTAAATATGATAAACAATAATAAAAATACAGCATCATTAAAAGTTGCTTTAGATTAGGTAAAAGTTGCATGAAACTGAGACGCACACAAAACATATGGATATGTACATGCACATGTAATCCCTTCCCCGTGCATCATGCATTTTGAATTTGTTATGCTGCCCATCTCCCTATAATAGCACATAAAACCACATATTAAATTTTAAGATAATAATAATCTATCCATGCCATTAAAAATAAACAGTCAGCTTTTTTTTTATGAAATGTTCATATGATGCTTAATTACATCAATCAACGTGGTTGAAATGGAGAGGGAAGAAGCAAAAAATGACTATCACGTGAACGTAAGCATTATCTAACAACATCAATAACTTAAGGTTCAAATCCTCTAAATATCATGTGAAAGTAAGCATTTTGAGTGATAGATGGAGGGGAAAAAATGCCTAGATACAACATCAAACTTCCACCCTTTCACTACAACAAATATCACATATAAGTGAGCACTTTTGATGGTGCAGAGGAAAAACTAATGAGAAGAAAAGAAAAAAAACATCACATATAAAAGCATTGCCATTTAAAACTCTAATTTTTACCTATGCATCAATCGCAAATTATAATTTGTAAAAACCAAATCATTCAATCTTTGATGTTGTAATCTATTTCGTCTTTTGGTATGGATGCGTTCAAACAAACTCCAATTTCTTTCACAGCCAAAAAAAGAAGAAGTTTGGCTAAGAATGCGCATTGCAAGAGTTTACAATTTTGGAACAGAACCTCAATAGAATGACCACCATTCATCTGCAAATAAAAAACATTTAGTTAGGTGTTAATCATATAATAACTAGAATTACCATGGAAATGTTAAATAATAAATATGAATACTCACAAGGATCTAATTTCTGGGCTGCTCTCTGACATGAAATTTTGTCAAAAGACTCTTTACAATCACAATACAAACTCAACTGCTTCATCATCACAATATAATCAATTTCTTCACTTTCATTGGACTCAAACACGTCAAGCATTGCATCCATTGACCTTCTTTTATGAACAAAGTTCTCATCATACAAGAATGCAGGATTCAACAAATACGTCACTGTATGAAGATTTGTCTTAAAGTGCTTATCCCATCGAGCTTGAATAATGTTTGTGTAAGGCTTGTAATAATTTTTCTTATTGTTGAATGTTGCCTTGATTGCTTTTTTTGCCCTTTGTATGCCTTCATAAACATAAGGCAAAGAAGGCTTCTCATCTGAATCCACAATTCTCAACAACTTTATAAGAGGAGACACAACCTTCACAATTTCTAAGCAATCACCCCAAAAGCCATTATCTAATATGATGGCAGTAACAATTATTCCAGCTTGAGTCTTTGACAATTTATGATCTACAAAGTGCTTATTAGTCACCAAAGCTTGCAAGTCATGCTTATGCATATATATGTTATGCAACGTGATAAATGTAGTAGTAAATCTTGTTACACCAGGACACACAATTTCTTTCCAACCCGGTCTTTTCCTAAGCCATGACAAGAAGATCATATGATTATAAATAAAAACAGTCATCTTTGATGCCTTAGTTGCAAGTGCTCACACATTGTCTAAGCTTACTATATCTTTTAAAGTAAGGTTCAAACAGTAAGCAGCACAAGGTGACCAATAAATATTTTTATATTTTTCCTTAATCAACTTGCCACATACTACATAATTTGTAGCATTATCAGTCACTATGTGAACAATGTTCTTGGGACCAACCCACTCAATCACTTCACAGAACAATGAGAACAAAGTCCTAGCATCTTTTACCAAATCTGAAGCATCAACAGATTTCACAAAAACTATTCTATGTGTAGAATAGACTAGGAAATTAATCAAAGTTCGCTGCCTCGCATCTGTCCAACTATCAGCCATTAGTGTACATCCAGTGTTTTTTCATTTAGCTCGATGACTCTCAATAAGTAATTGACATTCCTTTTTCCAATTTGTCAACAAATTGATTCTACATTCATAAGCATTAAGGGCTTTGAACCTCAGCCTAATTGAAGCAATAGCATCTATGGCTTTTTGAAATAAAGGACAATCTAATGTATTAAATGGAATACAATTGACAATAGCCCATTCAGCAATAGTCATTTTTGCATTGTACTGTGCTTCTTTTATTGCAAGCACACTCTTGATGCTAGGTTAGGAACCAAGAGTTGTCCTGGGGGCAAAATAATTCTCAACTGAAGCAATAGAAGCTTGCCTCTTATTGGCATTTCTCTCAAGGACTATCTTAATTGGAGTAGGAGCAATTGGATCATTAGTTTCAAGGTCCCCAATGTCTACTTGTTCTTGTTCTTGTTCTTTTCTACCATCAACCTTCCTTTTTCTCCCACTTTTCAAATACTCAACCATCCTGTGACGTACATCATGAGGAAGCTACTTGACCACTCACACCAGCAAAATGTTGCTTCATTCTGTTAATCCCACCTCCTCCATAACTTGACGCACAATAAAGATAAGTATATATATTTTTCTTGCCCTCTTTTCTTAAGGCAACATGTGACCAAGTAGGGTTAGTTTTTCCACGCACAGATAGGGCCTCACATGTTGAGTCATTACCACTAGGAGGGGGATCATTGGAATTGGAGGTAAGATTCTTATTTCTATCACTAAGACTACTTCCAATATCCATAATCAATACAATGACTATATTTTATTCTACAAGCTAAAGACAAAGCTTCAATTTTATTTTTTAACACAAATGCAAAATTCAAATAATAAATAGCTTCAATTTTATTTTTTAACACAAATGCAAAATTCAAATAATAAATTAGCAATAAAGCTGAATCAAGAAACAACTAGGCACTAGAAGAGGCAAGCTAAATCATATCTAAAAACAACAATAACAAAAAGAGACAACAGTCACGAGCAAAATCAAGCAAACAATCATCTTCTCTGGAAATAAAAATAATCAATAGCTTACTTAGCAATCAACTGCTGAAAGCAATATAGTTCGAGAAAGCAATCAGCTTACTTAGCAGCAAAAGCAATATAGTTCAAGAAACAATAATCAGGCAAAGAAATAATAATCACGAGCTGAAGTAAGAAATAAAAACAAAATCCAACACGAGATATAGTGAAATTGACCTGATGCTAAAAGTTAAGCATGAGCTGCTAAATCACTCTATCACAATGGGCTGAAGCTGAACGCTGTCAAGAAGAAGTAAAGAACTACAGATCGAGATGATGAAGTGTATCTCCTAAGTGTGCTCTGCCTCTAATTTCAAATTGATTAGAGAAGAGGAGAACTAGAGAAAAGACGGAGGTCGGAAACAAAGCGTGAGGCCAATTAGGTTAGGGCGACTGGATGAGAGAGGAGAGGCAACACAGCTAACTGAGTAATTTGATATTCTGAGTCAGCAAAGTGGCGAAGGCGACTGAGTGATACTGATCTGATATGATTCTCATGCTGTGATACTGATATAAATCTCTGATACTGATCGAAGACAGCATCAGCGAAGTGGCAAAGGTGAACCCTAGCTGGACTGGACTGAATTTCAATTCGTGTTTGGCTGTTCCTCATTTAGGCTTCAGGGCTTGAAAAAAAAAATCCCCCAAAACAACATCATTTTGGGGGTTCAGCTTGAAAAAAAAATCAACCCGGTTAACCTAGTCAACCCATCGAGTTACATCGGGTTGAACCCAGGTTGACTGGGTTACACCGGGTCACACTCATACTGATTTAGTCATAAACTCAGATCGAAAAAGGGATCGAGTCACCTAGTTTCAGGTTGAGCCAACCGATCCAATCGGGTTTCCAAACCATGCTTATTTTTGTGTTGGCAAAAAAAAATCAAGCCTTATATCTAGATCAAGAGAGGATCTTCATACTATCCTCAACTAATCATCGAATATTGAAAATTTGAAATGGTTACAATCTGTGGTCTTTTATATAAATATATATATATATATATATTGACTTTGTCAACAATATAATTTATGCTATTTTTTTAAAATCATCCTTAAGGCTGATGGACTAATCTTTATCTATATATATATATACACACACTGTATATGTGTGTGTAAAGTGCATCATGATCACTGTTCATCCACAGTTTGATGAACAGTAATCATGATTTTTTTCTTTTGAAAAAATAACTTTTGTGAGACTCATAATAAAAAAAATAGGTGTAAGACCTATAATAAAAAATAGGTGTGGATATGAGACTCAGAATAAAACATATCCCCTTCATTTAAAAATATAAAATATTTTTTGAGGAGTTGGATGTTTAAAAATATAATGCATTTTTAATCTTTTGAGGTGTAATTATTGTCATTTTTTTAAAAGTACTCCTATTAATAGTGACCTTATATTTATTATAGAGTATTTAATAGAGGTAAATATAAAAAGATAGAGTTAGTCTAAAAGTAGGTAATTATTTTATTGAGGGTAATATTTGATTAAAAATATCTTATATTTTTTAATGGAGGGAGTAGTATAAAACCTAATATTTTTATAAAGGTAGGAGATCAACTTATTATTTATTGCTTATATTTTGTAATTGTATGAGATAATTAATTATATTATAAAAATAAATTTAAATTATAAATTATAAAATAGAATGTTTTATTACAATAAAATTACAAACTTAATTTATATAAACTATAAAAAATATTTATAATTTAACGGATAATGTCTTTTGTTTCAAATCTTAAGTCACATGGAGTAACAAATTAACATAAAATATGTTTTTAATTTTATTTTTAAAATATACAAGATATTAAATTATAAAAAAGATAAATTTATATGGATGAACATTGGCTTATTTAAAAAAAAAAATACACATTGAAGGATCATGTGTGGCTTATAATAAAAATAATTGGTAAAAAACATATCACCCGGTGATTGTATTTTTTTATATGTATAAGATAATAAATGGTAGAAAGCTAAATAACAATTTATAAAATAAAATTTTTTATTATTTTAATTTTAATTTACGAGTGAATGATGCATCTTACAATAATAAATTATTTGTTATAATTTTAATATATATATAGAGTAAAAAAATTATTTATAATTTTTTAATATTTATGGGGTATGCTATTTATGTTTTCAATATGTGCATAGATAAAAAAAATTAAAATAAGACAGTGTTATTTGAATTTTAATTTCTGGTATACATAAACTTAAATTTTTAAAATAGACTGTTATCTTCTTGGGTGCGCTTCAGCATTCCAAGTCTTTTAATCCAAACTAATACGATTAGCAATTGAAGGCACTTCTTTGAAGTCATAAAATAATAACTTTTAAAACAAAACTTACTTTTTATGTGCACCTCTTAAATTTCTCTTAATTTAATTGTTATTTTTTCTGTCTTGCAAAATAAATGTAATTGATAAATAGTATTATCATCAATTAATTCTATATAAAAATCACATTCTATAAATAATTGATGCTCTAGTTGAAAAGTTTTTTTGCATGAAAAATGACTTATTAATTATTTTTTCAATTTTACCCTTTGATATTTTTTTTATAAATAGAGGGAAAAATTACATATAAAAGACAAATTATTTTTTTAAATATAATGCATTAATAAAGATAACTTGAACTTTTCCTTTTTCTAGCAAAACTAATTATTTAATTATGTCTCCTTAATTATAGTGGCATACTCCCTCTGTCTTCATATATAAAGAGTTTTTAAAAAATTCATGTATATCAATAAAAATTTGGTATTTAATTGAAAACATATAAAATCACAATAATTTTTTAATTTTACCTCAAATAATATCACAATTAATATCACTTCCCCTTTCTCAAAACAATAAGTGCAAAATTATTCAATTACTCAAAATTATCATGGCAACACTTATATTTAGGTGCAAAATAAATTTTTAAAAAATATCCTATATATAAGGATGGAGGGAATAGTTAAATGTGATTTATATATAAGACAAGAGGAAGTACTATAATATTAGTTATGCTATTTTTTAATTTAAAATTATTATTTAATATATGTACTCCTTTTATTTAAAAATATAAAGTATTTTTAACCAAATCTTACCTCTCAATAAAGTAATTACCTACTTTCAAACTAACTTTATCTTTTTATATTTATTCTTATTAAATACCTTACAATAAATATAAAGTCATTCATTAATAGAGGTACTCTTGAAAAAAAAGACAATAATTATATCTCGAAAGACTAAAAATACCTTACATTTTTTAACATTTAACTCCTCAAAAAATATCTTATATTTTTAAATAGAGGGAGTATATATTTTTTGTTATTTTTACTTTTAGCTATATTTGTAATTTATAAATATTATTATCATATAAATTATAGTATATATTTTATTTTTCCATGCATAGGCCAACAAATTTTGAAAGGAAAAAAATTAATTATATTTAAATTTGTAGGAAATGAGAAATTAAAAAAAACACTATTTATATTTTTTAATGTACACGGTGCCCTAATGTATATTTAAAAGTTACCCTTTCGAGAAGGGTAGTGTATTGTAAAATAGAAATTATTGCTTAAATTTTAATTTGTATGGGACCATCAATAATAGATTCAAGAATATTTCTCTCGGATAATTTTTGTCTTTGTTTAATTATGGGGGCTTAGTAAGAAGTGTATTTTTTAACTTGATTTCAAATTTTTCCCACATATTAGTCAAAGAAAAAATACAATTGTCTCTCTGAAATAACATACTTTAAGATAAAATGAGTAATTATTTTTATCTTTAATATGTAGGGAAAAAATTTTACTATAGAATAAATTGTCCTTTAAATTTTAATTCATGTAAATTAAAAATATGTTATTTTGAGTGCACAAAGATAAATTATTTTTTACTTTTATCTTATAAATATGAACACGGGTTTAATAAAAAAAATTTGAACACGGGAATAAATTTAGTTTCTAGTCTAAAGTTTCATTTTTCTAAATTCATATATATATATATATATATATTCAAGAAATCAGAATACTTTTTAAAAAGAAAAAAGAAAAAGTTGCACTAAAAAGGCGTATTCAGTACAACCATTAATTAATTATTTAACAAGCCAATTACTTGACCGAGAGAGGTAATCTTTGGTAACAGCGAAGGCTGAGTTATCATCATATAAGAAATTATATTCTCCCCTCTATTTTATTTTGCGTCCCAAACTACAGTAACCATCTAACCTCTTATTTTAATATATTTTTTATAATGATTTTTAAATTAGTATATAGTAAATAAAAATAAAAAATTATAAGGGCTTATAATAAGATGGGTATGTGATCCACAGTGAAAAAAAAGAGTGGTAAATATAAAAACAATATTAAAAAATTTATTGTTTCTGGACCATAATATACAACTTCTTTTAAAAACTTTATTTAATAAGAAATGTAGGGCATTCAATAATTTTTATAATTATATAGATAAGTATGGTTTAAAATTTGTAAGTAATTTTTTTACTTATTTCATTTGCATTTTATCTATATTAAAAATTTTAATCTTCTCCTCATTTTTTAGAAATTGAACTCATTGAAATCTTCTCTCCTCTATAGTTCCTTATATTACAATTGAAAGTTAATATCATGTATATTATACGGGTATAAAATCTAATTACATATAAATCAATATATCAATGCATTGATATATCAACATGTATAATAAAACTTAATAATTGTACAATATAAGTAAAAAATATTATTATATAGATAAAAGTACAAAAATGTGTCATGTATTTCGTAAGGTTTTAATCATTTCATAAATTAATTCATATATTAGTCTTTTTATTGAACCAAATTATATAGAGCAAGAATCATCTTATATTGTAAATTATAATGATTGATTATTGTTCATATACAGTTGTTTTGAAGGCAAATGGCGATTTATACACAAGACTCTTCGCTGGGCGCCATCTTCGTAGCTACTAAACCAACACTTGACACTAATTCCAAATGAAGTTCCTCTTGCATTTGGCTATTATTGCTCTTACACCTAAGAGTATGCATGAAGAATCAAAGGTTGAGATATATAGATATATATATATATATATATATATATATATATATAGGAGAACAAAAGGCTCTCATGACCAGTGCCAACAGTCAAATAAAATTTGAGCTAGCCACCAGCCAATTAAATTAATCAATGACAAAATCAACAAAGCAGAATCTTAAAGGAAAACTGACGTCAATTTCTCAACATCAAAAGCCTCTTCTACAAATAAACTGGCAGAGCCACTAAGTGATTCCACATTCACATGACAAATACATGAAATGATAAAAGAAAACTAGATTTTTTATTAAAACCTGATAGGTTAACTCCCTAAAATCTAATGAGCTAACTTATGCTGAAAAGACAGTTGTTTTTGAGTAAAACCTAACAAGTTAATTGATTTGCATGATTCAATATATGAATAATGGTTTCTTTGAATGAAAAAATATCTAAATCATCAAGGGAAAAATATTTGAAATGAGCTTCAAAAAATAAGCAACCTGGGACCTGTGATCAACAAATTGATATCTTATTTTAACATTAGCATTGCCCAATTAACAAAGTATTTAAGTACATAACATGTAAACTATTTACATATAAAAATGATCAAATCAATGAACCCAATAGAAGGCCAATCTATAAATCAACGTATCAACTTCATTTCGATATCGATCTGACACCCATACAATGATGTTGCGTTACACAAATAATGCTCCAAAATTCTTGGTAACATCAATGCAAATATCTGTGTATGCACGCAGCGTGTGTGTGAGAGGACACAAAATCGAAGCCCAAAAATGAAAAAGAACATGTGACTGTGTAAGGAAAAGGAGAAATATTAGAGAGAGCAGGTACTAAAGGAGAGAGAGAAAAACATGAAAGGAGAGAAAAAAAAAAGAGTAGAGAGGGAGAATTATTTACACAAAAATGCCCATCAATGAACCTTGCAACAAGTGAAAGAAAATTCTGAAAATATGATAAGGATGACATTGCACCAATGTCACAAACTTAAATTGCTAATCCTTATTTGCAAAATTCAGATTTGAAAAAGTTAATAAAAGTAATAGGGTTAATATGTAACTTAGATCCTAAACTATAAGTTCAGAAGTGATTGAATCCTAAACTCTTATCGAGTATATTCTAAATCCTAAATAATTAAACTTGAGACAATTTTGCCCCTATTATTAAATTAAAATAAACATCTATTGGTTTTTTTTTTAAATGGGGCCTGATCTATGATTTTCCTCAAAGGAAGGCAGAAGAGAGAAGGCGAGTGAAATTTAAAAAAAATTGCACATCATACCCCATTTTTTAAAAGATAATGAGATTTGTTTTAATTTAATGGTGGAGTAAAATTGTCCGAAATTTAATTATTTAGGAATCAAAATGTAACAAGTACGATTGCTGGACTTATATTCAAGGTTTAAATTATATATTAACCCAAAATAATAATAATTTTGGAATTCATAACTTGAAAAGAGCACATAAGAAGAAATAAAAAAGAACAAGGTGGAGAGAAGTTCAATTATGAGTTGAAATAATAAAATGCATGCTCATATATGGAACATAAGATGAAAGAAAGTGTAAGAGAAAGTGAACTTGAAAACATGATTAAAATAGGGAAGTGAATATATATACAACCCTTAACATCATATTTGATGAAGAATGTTCATTGCCCACTTTAAATCTTAATCCAAAATAAGTCAATCAAATAAGATGTAGACCAAACCACAGAATAATAAAATAGTTCCATTCACCAAGAGAAGCAATATGCTAAAACATAGGCTTCAAACCTATTGAAGATAATAGAAGAAAGGGAACTTACAATTTGGTCTGGAGAATATACTTGCAAGCACATTACCCATGGGGCAAGTGGCCAAGGCTAGCTGCTACCTACTTAAAGTAAGTTTTACCAGCGGGGCAGCATAGCGAGGCTCAATGTCATTTTGACCATACTCATTTGGATCTAGCATCAGAGAGTTGTCCTTGGATGCATCTCTTGTATCATCAAGTCGCAACAAGCCATCATAGCCTAAATGAAAAGGATCACCTTAAATATAAGTTTCAAAATGGAAAATAGAAGCAATAGAAAAGAAAAGATCACATTGAGAAAAATCCCATAAAGAATATAATTTTCTGATTCTGAAATTAACGGCATGGCCCTCATGAAGTTATGAAACCAAAAATTTGTATAGATTATTCCAAAAATAAAATAAAAAATAATCTAAAATCAACACCAAAGCTAGAAGCCAATAAAAGCACTTAAAAGCCATAAACAAATTCCATAAACAGTATCAATAAAAATGACTCAATAAAACATGGAAAAACTAAAAGGGGGGAATAGTCGGGGAATGAGGATAGATTAAAAGAAACAGCCAAGATCAAAATCGATTCAAATATGAAGGTAAACAAAATAAATCAACATGTATTTCCAAGAATGAAAATGAAAGGGCTCAACATACCCTAACAAAAATTGGAAGCAAACAATTATACAAAAAATTCTCACAAATATAGAAAGAATCAGTAAATTAATAAGGAAAAGAAAAATAAAAATACAAAAAAATGGGAGAACAATCATGATTTCTTCAGTTGCTCCACCCCTTGCAAGATACTTTGAACATGATAAAGCAAATATGGGGCAACGTCATATTTCAACGAGCAGATTTGAGGTGATGGCGGAGCTTCGATGAGGAGGTCTGGGGGAACGGCTATGAGAAGCAACAAAGCTTCGTCCTCAAAGAAACAACGACAATCAAAGTAAAAGAAAAAAGAGAAGAGGCAGTGATCGAGGAGGACAACAAAAAGATGGAGAGACGTTGAGAGGTTAGCGGGGCTTATAGCAAAGAAACAGAGAGTGATTTTGAGAGACGATGAGGCATATAAAGGAACAAAGGGATTGAGAGAGAGATTGAGAAGGTGAGAAACGAGAGTCAGTCAGATGGGATGCTGTGTATTCTGAGAGACAATGATGGCTGATCAGGATAGTTACTTACTTCTCAAAATAATAACTAAAATTAATCCTAATGTAGCAAGATTCAACTTAGTTCATCTTTCAAAGAGTGATTTAAGTCTAACTAAGAGGTCAACTGGTGAAATAAGTCATCCAAGAGTTGAAATTGAATTACCTAATTGTCTATTCAATTTAACTTATGTTTCAAAATATATATAATTCAATTTAATAAAACTTTAATCTCTTAATTTCAACTCTTTTAATGTCCAAATCCTAACACAACTAAACTCCAAATATGTCTAAAAGTAAAAAAAATGAGTTTTGAGTCAAGCTTATACCTAAGCATTATCAGATGAATAAAATAGAGCATTTTGCTGACAGTGGCATTCGTGACTTTGGGACAACTTTGACAATTTTTAAATTATTTTTGCTGTTAAATAAAATTTATCCTTTGTGCACTGATTTTTTCATTCAAAAGCATCAACAAAGGTCCAGAAATGCTTCTAATCAAATCTTAAACTAAAATAACATAAATTAAGCCCAACAATTTTATATTAAAGGTAAGAATGCAAACCCATACACATTTTCCTAATTTGAATAATAAAAATATATTCAATTGAGCTAAAATGGATTAAAATTAAAATTTAAAGAAAATATGATAAAATGATATGAAATTTTAAAAGTTAATAACAAGCAAGGAAAGAAATAATGTCACAATCGTCTTCTCTTTACAAAAGAACTAAATTCACAATAGAATTACAAGGCAATGATAATTAAATTCTAAATTAAGGAATCTAATCATCAAGTCAAATATAAAAGAATAGGAAACAAAGGAAGCTTTGCCATTTGAAGATCTTAATTTATCATCCATTTTTAGTTCTCTAGAATTCCACCAAATAGCCTAACCACTCGTTTCCATCTCCATGAAACTCTTGAAGTTCTTGAGGTAGCTGAACTCCATTCTTGCTTGGATGAAGAATTTAAGGATTGGATCCTTGGAAGGAGGTTAGGGAAGGGATGAGATATGGAAGAGATGAAGAATGGGGTGTGTCTTATGGTGGTTTGAGTGAGAAAATGGTGAAGAACGTGGATGAATTGAAGCTGAACGAAAATGAAGAACAAGAATGAAATAGCTAGTGAGAAGAAATAACAAAAGTGGATGACGTGAGAGATGAAGTGAATGGGTGTTTAATCTCAATTTTCTAATAAATTCACGTACAGAATGAAAATGATTCAGCTTCCAATTAATTAAAATAAAGGAAAATAAAATAAAAATGTAAGTGGATCCAAGTCACATAGAAGAGGTTTGTAAAATGATATGTTCCTATTGATTTATAGATAATTTCAAAGTGTATCAAATTAATCTTTTGCTTTATCCATATTTTAATTAGATCTATTCCACCCAATTAAAACACCTGCATACCATTTGGGTTCAGATTTTCCTCCTTAAAGGTTTGCTTAATTGATACACATGTGCATGTTTAACTTATATCACATAGTACACATAATTCAATTTAATAAAATGTGATATCATAAAATTTAATTAAAGTATAACATTAAATTTATATTCAAAAGGGAGAATTTATTAAAAATAACTAAGTAATGGGTGCACAAAGTTAGACAAAATTCACACACAAATGCAAACCCAAAATTAGGTAAATTTGAGAAAGGCAATAAAAAGTGTTACTTTTATTTAATTACTCCCAAATTAAAATAAATTTATATAAAATTCACACACAAATGCAAACCCAAAACTAGGTAAATTTGAGAAAGTCAATAAAAAGTTTTATTTTTATTTAATTACTTTCAAATTAAAATGAATTTATAAAATTTAATTTGATCACTTTTTTTGCACTTGAAATATATTTTGTCTATTTTTCTCACACATTTTTTCAAAATTTTTTTTGACTAAAATATTTTTAATGTACAAAATTTAAACACTTAGGTAAATTTTTAATTTTAATATAATATGTGTACACTTTGAGTTAATAATGCACAATTAATATTCCTAATTTATATAAAAAATGTGTAATAAATAAGTTCTATTTAGGACATAAAGAGATTGATTGAAAAGGTGAGAGATGGATCACAAGTGTATCAGAGATGCAGCAAGGAGTAAAAGTTGTACTTCCTCTGATCTAAAATATAATAATTTTTTTAAAAAAATTTATTTACTAATAAAATTTTCATTCTCGTAAAAAATATATTATTTAGCTATGATTTTTTAATTTTTTCCAGTGACTTTTGCCGCAGTTAAAAATCTTTTTTGTTGTTGTTGTTGTTGTTGTTATGTAGTGATTGGAAGTTTGGTGTGTGCAAAACAATTAATATAACTATTGACTTCTTTACCCACGTGGATTTAAAGCGATTGTTCAGTCCCTCATTTCCTTTAAGATTTGAGCAAGGAGATAACTGCTAGAAATTCACGCCGAATAAGTGAGAGTTTGGAGGAAATCAGAGTAAATATTCATTTTAAGAAACTTGTCGTTTTGACAAACGTTGAGGTTACCTCCTTCGATATCCATAGATGTCACGACAATCCTGGAGTGACAACTAGAAATATTTAGAGAAAATTTTTATTCAATATCTATTGGCTTGACCAGGGACACCTTTTGGCTTCTTCTTCTTCTTTTTTTTTGCTTTTCCTTTTTCTGTTTTCCCTTTCGCCTTTTGCTCTACTATCTTGCCAAGGCTGGCTGGTCGATGCCTTTAATTATTTTCCTGTGTACATTTGAGGTAATTTATAAAATACGGAGGGATAAATAATGACTGTGGTGTAGGGTCTTACGTCACCTGAGTCTAAACCTCCCGAATTATCGTTGAAAAATAAATTTTAGACAATCCACAAGACAACAAATTTAAATTTAATAAAAAATAACAACATTACAATTAAACTTTCACAAACTTTGTTAGCATCATTATTATTAATATCAATATAATTTAATTTTGTTCCTCGAGTCAAAGCTTGGAGGATAAATTGAAGGGAGATGAAATGAAAACATACTTGATGACCAAAGGAAATGAAGCCAGGGTTTTAAGCTTTTAGTGATGTATAATTTTTTTCATATTAAAATTAATATATATATATATATATATATATATAAGAGCCCCTATTTTAAAAGGCTTACTTTTTTATTTTTTATTTTAGAGTTTAAAAGGATTTTTTAAATTTGATTTATCATTTTACATATTAAAGTAGCAACTTAATCCTAATTTTTTTCGGACTTAAACTAATTTACGACTCTATCTAGGGGTGAGCATCTGTCAGTTCGTTCCCAAAACATGCAGAACCAATCGATCAAATAATACTGAAAATAAAAATTGAATGAATCAAACAAACCAATCAAACCAAACAAGGACTGAACTGCAATTTGATAATTCTGCTCGGTTGGTCAATTCAGTTTTTAAATTTTATATTAGGCTATTAAAATTAGGCCCATTTTTTTTAAATATTAAAATAAAGAACACTATAAAATTAAAATTTTTTTCTATTCATGTTTTTCAATATGAACCTATTTTAATTACACCCATATGACATAAAATTTAAATATTATAAAAACATGAATAATCAAATAAATAATTTATAAAAAATAGGGTTGAGAGTGATTGACCGAAATAGAGTGTCAAGTAATGTTATTATTTTTTATTCTTTATTAAAATAAAAAATAAAATAAAATAAAATAACTTATAAATTAAATATAATTTATAAGTTAATAAATTATATATAATTCGGTTGGTTCGATCTATTTAATTTTAAATTTTACTAATCGAATCGAACCGATCAACCAAAATATTTAAAATAAAAAAATTAAATTGAACCAAAAAATTAAATAAATTAAATCAAATAAACAAAATTTAATTTAATTCAGTTTGATATTTGGTTTTGATTCGATTTTACTCAACTCTAATCCTATCTATCATTGAAATGGCTTCTCCTGTTGCTGTTGGGGTGAAACTCGAAATAGTTTTTTTTTTTTAATCCCAAATTTTACTGCCTTTCTTTTACCGTGCCAGTACGTACGTACGTCGGTTCAGGATGGCCATGACTGGCTTGGGGGGGGGGGGGGGGAAGAGATTATGGCCATGACTGGCGCTTGTTCAAGCTCTTTTCCTCAAAAGCCTCACAATTCTGACAATTTAACAGTCTCCTTTCCCCCACACAAACCCACCACATACAGATTCCAACACCTTTTCTATTTTGCCAAGCCATCATTTACATGACCCACTCACTCACCTCCACCGCTATTTTTGTTAACCTAATTACAAGCTTCATCCTTGGCCTCCTCCCCCTCCTCTCTTCTTCTTCACTCTGCAGTCTTCTTCAATTGTTCTCTTCGGAAACAAACAAAAGGAGGGTCTTTCCAGTACAAATATCAATGTCTGTCACTCCCATTGTTTTTCTCTTTTCCTTCTTCTTCTTTGTTCTCACTTGTATCTTCCAGTCTTCATATGCCTCCACGTTTCTGGTGGATGGAGCTTCCCTGTGGAAGAATCCCCTTGTTTATATTGAAGATTCTGTTGGTAAGTGCTGACAACCCACTATGCAAATTCATTGATAAACAGTGCTCTGCTTTTTCTGTTCTCTCATGCGTCTATTTATTTAATTTCTGGACAGTTTTCAAGCACAAGCAGAATTACAAGCTCTACATTTTCCAGAGCCAGAGAGCCTTCAATCTCTGCAATCTCTCTCAGGCCACTCTTCTTACCAAGCCCAACGCCACCTCCTACACCGTAAGTCACTTCGAATCTCGATCTCGGCCTCCTTTGAAAATCTCTACGAAATATGGATGTCTAAGGGGGGAAAATATCATCACCATCACCATCGATACATGTTCATGTAATACTTTACGTTGTGTAATCTTGCAGAAATATCTCTTGGACGTTCTTTTTCTCTGTCAATCTTCACCTGGAAATCCCATTTCAAATCTCATCTGAGAGTTCAAATTTTTCAAAATGTGTAACCACATTTCTCGCTTTATTGTTTTTTTTTTCCTTCAGTGGCATCCGTGGCGCACTGGTTTCTTCTACTTTACCTTCAACGATGGGTCGCTCAGAGCATGCCAAGCTTCTCAAAAGCTAGCCATAAAGGTGTCTAACTCTGCGCCGCCGCCGGAAGAATCGGCAATGTCTCCGGATATTTCTCCCACGGAGGCTCCGGCTCCGGCTCCTTCCTCCGGCGCGGATGGATCGCCGTCGAGTACATTTCCATGGCCATTCCAGCCGGCATCACCGGTGCCTTCGACGACGGGTAAAGGAGGCAGCGGGATGCCGTTTATCAACAGCAACCCTGCGGTTCCACTGCCGACCGGTGAAGTTGACTCCGCCACCATACGACCGACGCCGACCTCTGCCGATCAACGACCGGTTGGTGTATTTTGTCTCTCTCCCTCTCTATTTTTGGAGTCGAAATATATTTTTCGCCGCGAGTATATTTACATGCATTGCATGCCAAGTCATAATATAATGGGTACTAAATTAGTAAATTGTATGATGATGATACAACAATTATTAAATGTGATACGCAGTGCCGTGTAATTTATGTATATATAAATATAATAATAAATTTGATAAATAAACAAAATATTGGCCTGATTCTAATAAAACAAATTATATATTTTTCTGTGGTAAAAGAAATATTTGAACAGGGAATTAATAATTAGGCACCACTTTATTTGAGGGATCAGTGATTGGAGGGTGTTCCTTGCAGGTGATGATTGAAATCCTGCCCTTCCATATTGCTTTCCACTCCATGGCTTTCCTGCTCCCCTTGCTGCTGTAGAGAAAGCTTTGATGAGGAGATTATTGTAATATCAACACTTGCTCCAGTAATTTATAATTCTTCTCCTTGAGAGTATATAATTTTATATTTTAAAAAATGTATAATTATCCTACACGGTTAGTCTAATTTTAGTTTTCAAATCAATCTGGTGGGTTTATACTTTATAGAGAAAGCAAGGGTCGCGGCTAGTGGGAGTGTGGGACTGAGTCTGAGACTTAAGAAATTATTCTATAGAATCGGCTCTTTCCACTGCAGAGTGCTTGCAACCTTTTTGTTTTTGTTTTTTTTTTTTTATAATGAAATGTCTGTGATGTTTTAAGTTAAAGCGGCCAAGTGTCTCCACATCCAAATGTTACAACTCAATTCGATTCTTTTGAGGTTGGCTTCACCGAATTTGGTTGAAGTTAAATGATCTTGTATTTGGCAAAAATAATTTAAATGTTAATGTGGAATCAACAGAAATGAGAGGGAATTTTGGAGTGGATTAACAATGCAGTGTTTTAATAAAGTTACATTTGTTGGGTCCCTCTCCCTCCCAAACACCATTGGAGGCCAGCTGAGCTGACCAACACAGAGAGAGGCAGCATATCTGTAAAATGTAAAGTATTTTTTAAATAGTTATATATATCTTCAATTTAAAAAACAAACAATGCTGGCCTTAAAAAAAAAATATCCACATGACGAAACTACATTATTCGTATGTGTATAAAATTATAATACATCTTATTTTTTATTTCACATAAGTCATTAAGGTCATGGCAACCCTTGGGCTCACAGGGCTAGTATTCCTAAAGTGGATTGGGCTGGCCCAAGTCCAATGTGCCTGAACTCTAATACTGATGGACAATTTGGCAATTTGAACAACATTCAAATTTTGTCTCACCATAAATAAAAAAAAAAAAAAATTTGAACTCCCGCAGTGCAAAGTAATATTCTACCGTCCCAATTTCTAAATCACATTTAAGGTTTGGTGCCTCAAAGTATAAATTTTTTTTGATAAAAATAAGATTTCATTGAATATACTTGTTTTAATATTATCTTCATCTCTTTATTATACTTTCTTTCTTTATTTAATATTTCATTTACAAATGAAATTATATTAAATGAAAGTTATTTTTAAAAATTTATATTTATATTTTTTAAAAAAATAAGATTGTGAAATGTGTTTAACAAACTTTATTAGTGTACATAGTTTTATCAAAAAATATCTTATAAACTAGCTGCGAGTGAATATGCTTCCTTTTTCGGATTAAGAAACTTTTAAGAATAATGAAATTTTTGTCCTTTAAGTTTGTTTAGGTATTGATTGGATCTCTCAAGCTTAATTTTTATTGAATTAGGCCCTTACGTTTATTTTAGTTAATAATTTGGTCTTTATTATTTAAAGAGGAGGTCAAATGATTAAATTTTACTAATATGAATAAGGGAATATTGATGGTAGCAATGTAGATTAGTAAAAATATGTGTAATAATCAGTTAGGTAGGAAAAGACAAACTCAAAAATTTTTTAAAATAAAAGAACAAAATGCAACATAAGAGATTATATTGATAAAAATTAAACTGATTTGAAGTTTATTTCGTTCTCATTTAACTACATATATATTCCATGTCATCAATATACATTACATGTTAAATTAATTTAATAGTTAATTTGTTTTTTAAAAATTAAAGGACTGGCATGATAATTTAATAAAACTCAAGGGATCAAATTGACCAAAACTAGATTTATGGAACCAAGTTGATGATTAAAGCAAATTTGAGATATTGAAAGTTATTTATCCCAAACTTATAGTCCCACAAGTTTGTTTTAATTATCGACTTGGTCACTTAAATTTAATTTTTTATCAATTTGGTCCCTAAATTTGCATTAGCTATTGATTTGATTCTTATTATTTCAAGAGAAGGTAGCACTATTAAAAATCTATTAACATATATAATACAATAGACGACAACCATATATATTAATTAATAGAAGTGTAATTAATTAAATATGAAAAAACAAAGTCAAAATTTTCAAAAAATGAAAAAAAATAAAACACAATGCAAGAGACTAAATTGATAAAAATTAAGTTGATTTGAGGGTTAATTTATTTTTGTTTAACTACATATACATGTCAAATTATTAATATACTTTATGTATTAGATTAATTTAAAAGTTAATTCATGTTTTAAAATTTTAAAGGACTGACATGATAATCTAAGAAAATATTAGAGAGTAAATCGATAAAAATTAAACTCGAAAGACTAAATTGATAACTGATACAAGCTTAAATAACTAAAAAAATCTTTATTTTTTATATACGCAATATATTTTTATTTTGTTAAGTTCAAAATGATATGCCTCACAAAAATCTATTTTTATCCGTAGTCGCAACCTAAAAAAGCGACTTTGTAACATTATAGATTTTTAAACCCAGATAATTAATAAGAGTAATTAGTGAGTTGATAAAGTGTGTGGCCATAGAGATTTAATAAGTGGGTTTTATTAGGATTTTAGCACTAAGTGCGGGTCCAAAACAGAATTGAATCACCCGAGCAAGGAAAGAAGAGGAAAATTTGAAGACAAATCCTTTGTGCCATATGTTGTGGCGTGTGTGTGGTTTGCCACGACGCACGGAGGCATATTTACAAGGAAGGCCTCCCCGTGCCGTACACCATGCATTTATCAATTCATGTCTGCATGAAAAATTAAAAGAGAAGAAGATTTGAAAATGAAAGACACGACTTGGCTTTGTTAGGACACATACATTAGGACCGTCGATAATACCTTGGAGCTTCCCAACACCTAAGATAAGATTATTAAGCCCATCTCTTCCCTTTTTCTTTCATTGTTATGAGGATTAAAGTTGAGGTTTGAGTTAGGAGAGTGATTTTTGGTTCATATGAGTTATGGGTTCGAACCCACTAGTTAAAATAGATATAATGAGAGTTATTTAGGGTATTTGAACTCAACGTTAATGGTTTTGTGAATGATTAGTTGGGGGAGCCATTAATATCTAAAATTAGACATTTTTTGAGGTTGTTAGGAGTGCTGAGGAGTAATGATAATGGTCTAATGACTCATTAATAATAATATGGGTTAATGAAACTTAGTAAATTCATTGGGTATGATTAAGTATGAGTTTATAATTTTGATGAAAAGGGATATGTGAAGTTTAATATTGGTAATCACCCAAAATGGGATAATGATATTATCCTTATGAAATGATTGCAGTGTTAAATAGGTATGCACAGCAGAAGATTTAAATTTTGAAGTCTTTCCTGATATGAACCGAACGAACTCGTTTAAGTCAAGGTAGATAAAAGAGTTACTTTTTAATTTTTTGAACTTGACGTATGTTCTCTTTGAAAGTTTGGATATCAAGAGTTAACAACATAGATCTGCTCCTTCTACCAGTATCCACATGAATAGTTCTCTAACTTGAACAGTGTACTAGCGCTTTCAGCATTCATTCTTCTTTGAATGTTATTTTTTCTTTCTACAGAGTGTTTCGTGGCTTTCAAAATGTTTTTGTCATCAGAACTTTTCTAAATCTCTCTTCCTTCATAAAGGACGTCTTTATCTATATATAGTATCCAGATAAGGGTTTTCATCTTTCAATTAAAAAGCCTATAAAAATATAATTAAATTTATCTCATAAATTTGATACATGATATTATATCTAATTTAAATTTATCTTATAAATTTTAATTATAAAATTGACATGATATGATATTCTCTCATGTCATGTTAGTTATTAAATTTAATCTACCATATTAAATTTAAAACTAATATAATATAATATATATATTACATATACATATTATATTATATATATATTTATACGAATATATATATATACATATATATTTTGAAAACAATATATTATATTATATATATTTAATTTTATATATCATATACATATATCATATATATATCTACACATATTAATATATATATATATTGAAAATATATATATATATAATTATATTTTAAAATTTAAATTTTATATAAATATGTATATAAATATTTATCAAATAAATATTTAAATATATATGTATATATATATATAATTCATTTATCCTATATTACATTTATTGAATCTAAACATATTTCAGATTCAATAAACTTAGACATTATAACTTGAGTTGGATTGTTCTTGTGTGCAACCTTGTAGGCCCATATAAAATTAACAGTAGGCTAATTATGCTATTAGCCCACAAGGTACAAGTGGCTTTTAGCAAGACATTTGCAACTACCTAATTCACATAGAGATTGATGATCCAATGTAACCTATCATGCAACCGCATTACATCTCTTTTGTCACGTGATATTTTAGTCAAGTATGAGACATGAAATTGTCATTCTCCTTTACCTGACTATTATTTTCTCAATTTTTAAGTGGAATGACAATAACAATGGAAAAACTCTTTCCATTGTAATATAGCCATACATTTTCTCAGTCTTACTTATCAAGAGACTCAGTAATATCTATCACTTAATGTGAGGGACAAATTTCATCTTGACCACTCGTATTCCTTTGCATGAATATCACTAAACTCAATTATAACCTTTATGATCACCCAATTAAAGGTAACTTTTGACTAGATCAAAGTTCAATGGTTATCATGTAGGAATCCATGATGATCTCAAATCAAAGAGCTTAGTGATATAATTACATATGAGATAAGCTTATGACTTGTACCATGCAGCTTTTTCATAAAGGGTCGCTCCAGCACCTTACACTCTTTCAAGTACATATGACTTTGATTTGTATCTCTATAATTAATCAAAGTCATACTAGTCTTGTTTTATCTATGATCCCTCATAAATGACTAACTAGAGACATTTAGGGTAATCACTATAGTTTGTCCAAGGATACAGTTATCATATTAAACATGCAATTGTTATGATAATAAAAGAGAAATTTATTAAATAACAATGTGTATAGTATAATGATTGGCCCCTATGGCACAATTTCCAACATGTACATCATTGATTTTTGGTACCATTCTAGTTTGGAAAGAAGCTTTGGAAGTTGATATTGAGAGGGATAAACCTTTAACTTCTCAAAGGTTTGGGGTAATTGGAGAAAATTTAAATTGTATAGTTGCATGTTAATTAGATAATTGTTGAAATTAATAAATTGAAACTTGTTTGATATACAAAAACTATTGATGTAAATTTGGTAATGTGATGAGTTTGTGCAAAATGATTTTGGAAACACATAATGTCATACATGTTACATATTTGTAATGAATAATTATGATTGATGGCATGGCATTGTGAACTTGAGGAAAATGTGATATTTGATGCTTGGAGTGTGATGAGTATGTGAGTGTAAATATGTGAATTCATAAAATATGAATTGTTGATTAGAATG